TAAAGGCTGACAATGCCTCGAGACTCACAACATGTTCAGTTATCTTAACAGACGAAGGAGAGACACAACACAAAGGGATATAGAACATATTGTATTGATATTTACTGCAACTTCCCAACATATTGTATGAAGAGGAACAAGGGTGGTTTATGAAGAAATGCTATTGTTGTGATCTTCTCTGTTTGGGACGTTGAGCGAGCAGTCAGCGGCTCTAGTGGAGAGTATGTGTCTTTGTTTGGTAGCGGCGGGTCGGTAACGTCAGTAACGGTAGTAACGTTAGTAACGGTAGTAACGGTAGTCGGGGAGCGAGGGCAAACACCTGCAGCTGCTGACAAGCTAACGTTAGCGTTTGTTCTTCACAGAAACTAAAGTTTTAAGGCAACAAAGTTCAGTTTTAGACTCAAAGTTGAATATTTGTTCACACTTTAATATTTGAGTCATAAAAACACTTTCCCTCTAACTGTGCTTTCAAAAAGAAGAAGATTTGAAAAACAAGCAGCCACATTTGATCCTAAAAATGTTCATTTTTCTCAGAGTTATAGAAGAAGATCAATTCTTTCTATCATTTCTTTCATCTCTACGTCTGCAGGCTGCACATTACCCTCACACATGATCCCTTCATCCCAGCATCCTTTGCTCTTCTCTTCCTTCAGCCTCCTCTTCCTCCTCTATTACAGTAAACACATCAGGTTGGTACTAACTAACATCAGCTGTGTGTGATCCTGTACAGACTGAACTATCTGGTCAGCAGTGAGAAAGTTTCTCTCTCCCTCCTACAGAGGACACAGAGACACTGAGGAACCAGACCTGAACCAGAACCCGAACCCAGGATAAAGAGGTTCAGTGAATGTGGTGTTGAAGGTGTGGAGGTGGATCAGTGTGTCAGAGGAGACTGTGTAGAAGGACAGAGTGCCAGCAGGACAGTCCACATACACTGCTACTCTACCAGAGGAGGAGGAGGAGGAGGAGGAGGAGGAGGAGGATGTTAGTCTCTTATTGTGCCAGACATAGTAACCATCATCAGAGCACTGCAGACTCCAGGACTGATCATTGCATCCAAACCAACAGTCTTCACTGTCTCCTCTCCTGCTGATTCCTCTGTAACTCACTGATATATAAACCCATCCTCTCCACTCGACCTCCCAGTAACAGCGACCAGTCAGACCATTTCTACACAGCAGCTGAGGCCAGAAGTCAAATCTGTCTGGATGATCAGGATATGACTGAACCTCCTCCACATGAATCATCTTCCTGTTGTTGTCAGACAGTTTGATCTTTCTGTTCACTGTGTTTGTGTCGACTGTGAGTTCACAGGAATCTGATGGAGAGAACAAGACACAATACAGCTGCAGTTATTGATCTATCATCTGATCATTGATTGACACTTTGATGATGACATCAGAGCTGTGAATGAGTGATGTCACAGTGTGAAGATGGTTGAATGTGTGCTGCTTTGTTTTCACACTTACACTTCCTCAGACCTGGTCTCAACCATCGGACTCCAGCAGGCTCCACCCTGAAAGGAGGAGGGGGGTCAGAGCAGCATGGAAACATGGACATTACATCGCTCTCATACACAGAGCTTATTCTCTACAAATGGACTTACATCTTCACATGGAGCACTTATTATTAATCAGCTGATAGTCTTTCAGTTCAGTGGAGCTTCTTCTTATTGGCCGATGGCTACAGCTCATTATTTTCACTTATTGATGATCTATTATTATTATCAGTATTATATTTGTAACAGAATGTTTACATTGATTACCTTTAAACAGTTTAACATGGGAGGTGAATTGGTAAGAGATTTGTATACATATGGGTTTTCCCTATATAAATAATGTGTTTCAGTTCATGTTGAGATGATTAAAAATACATAAGGGTGAATATGAATGAGAGACATGATTGATTAGAGATAAGTTGTGTAACATGATTTATTAATACGGGTAAAAGGAAACAAAACACAATGATGTCTAAGCTTTTAAGGTCTCAGGATATAGTTCATCATTGCTTTTGTTATAAGTTACACTTGAGTTAAAGAGAGATATGATACTGTACAGTAATTGATGAGAGATAATTGGTTTTTTGAGTTGCTGGATCTACATTCTGGGTTTCCTGTGGGATGCGAGGCAGGGTTAGAGAGTATCTGGAATTCTCCATCTTCATCATCTTCCTGAAGATAAGATCTGAGCAAGCGTACAAACAAACACACACATTCTACCCGGGTAGCACATACACATTGAATACACTTGGACGGACATGGATACACACTAAGCTTTTGGACTGGACTTTGACCAACATTGATATCAGACAGCAATAAGCTGTAAAGAAACACTTTCACTTTCAGTTCTTTTATTTCTTTTATATATTGGAATGTATCTGAACTGTGATTCTACTTTTTGTTGATTGTGAAATTGTGTTTACCTTTTTACATTATTATTATTTACATTTACTCACTCCTTGAGTTGAACCTGAGTGCAGTAGTTACTTCTGTTATGAATTGGTGACATTGAACTGAATTGTTGTTTAGGTGACGCCTTTAGTTTTTCTGTTCTGTTGCCTGGATTGCTGTGTTTTTATGTAACCACAAGATGGCGCCTCAATTAGTAAATCAAACACAGGTAACAATACAGGTGACACAGATGATGAGCTGATGACTGATAAATGTTATTCTATAGGATGAGTTAAGAGCAGTTGAATTTTGCTACTCTAATCTAACTCTAATTTGTACCCCAGGGCCGCTGGAAGTCATTTTGAACAGGGGGTGCTGTGAAAAAATTGTTTGGTATTTTTGGACAAAAAACCTATGAGCCTATAGGCCTATTTAAAATACATTTTAAAAATAAATAAATAGATTGAGATTCACTACTTTATTGTCATATACACTTCAGTGCACACAGCCAGGGTCTGTAACACACAGACATCATCAGTTCTCAGATGAATATATGCGCTATTAATTAAACTTCACAATAACGCTATAACAATGCAATAGATTTGTTCAGCTGGCATGAACCTGAGTCACTGCACCATCTACGTTTATGTCACACGCGACTCTATTAGCTCCAAAATCCTTTTACGCAAACCACAAGGAAATAATCTCTGACTATTTAAACGTTATTGAACAGTTCTCCACATCCATTACGCAAAGAACACACGATCAAAATAACACTCTCCATCTCCATCCTTTTTGATTACACGCACACTGGATAGCAACGTTGTTTGTTTAGTTCACAACCTCTGTCCAGTGGCGGATGATCAAAGTTGTGAAACTAACGTTAGTCCCTGTCAGACCATATGAGCGGAGCGGGGAGCAGAAGGATTTTGTGTTGAGCTGCAATTTTTTTAAAGGTCGCTCCAGTCTTTGCACCTGCACGCGCACACCCACACTATTTTCTTTCAAAACTATGGAGTTTAATGTGTACTTCAGAAAAGAAACTGAGAAGTCGTACAAGTGTGCTATTCCTGTAAAAGTAACAGATGGGGATAATGTGGAACAAGAAAAAGGCGACATTGTTGAAGTCGTTTTGTTTTTTTGAGCGGAGTGGTGAGTGGAGCGGGATAAAATGTATGATGGAGCAGAACCAGGCGTAGCGGATGAGCGTCTCTCTATCTCTCTTTACGTCTCCGTTTCTCTTTTTAATCCTCTCAGAATCCGGTAGGTTACCTCATACTCATCTCTAATAGACCCTGATTGGACAATGACAGGTTGACACCTGAATATTCTAATAAACAACAAAACATACGGCAGGAGGTGTTCAAGGACTGCTCAGAACACAGGAAAATTCAATATTTTCTAAAAAACATAGCAAATATACATTTCCCTGCATTAAACACAACTGATCTCACATCAGTAGTAATTTAGAATAGAATTTAAAATCCTTCTCCTCACCTACAAAGCTCTTCATGGTCAGGCCCCTTCATATCTTAAAGAGCTCATAGTACCCTATTACCCCTCTAAAACACTACGTTCTCTGAATGCTGGGCTACTTGTGGTTCCTATAGTCTCTAAAAGTAGAACAGGAGCCAGAGCCTTCAGTTACCAAGCTCCTCTCCTGTGGAACCAGCTTCCAGTTGTGGTTCTGGAGGCAGACACCCTCTCCACATTTAAGAGTAGGCTTAAGACGTTCCTCTTTGATAAAGCTTATAGTTAGAGCTGGATCAGGTGAGTCCTGAACCATCCCTTAGTAATGCTGCTATAGGCCTAGACTATCGGGGGATTTCCAATGATGCACTGAGCTCCTCTCTTCCTCTCTCTTTCTGCACTCATTCATGTCCCATTAATGTATGTTACTAACTTCACTTCTTCCCCGGAGTTCTTGTGGTTTCTCGTCTCGCAGGTTCTCATTGATCCTGGTGGAGCCTCAAAATTACTGATATTATTATTATTATTATTATTATTATTATTATCATTATTATTATTATTATTATTATCATTATTATAGTTACTATTGTTATTGTCCACCGTTGTTGTCGTTGTCATCATCATCTTCATGTTCATCATCATCAGTCATTTCTAGTCTGTTGGGTCTCTGTAAATAATGTTATAAGGAGTTCGGTCTAGACCTGCTCTATTTGAAAACTGTCCTGAGATAACTTCTGTTATGAATTGGTGACATACAAATAAAACTGAACTGAACTGAACTGAATTGTTGTTTAGGTGTTGCCTTTAGTTTTTCTGGACTAAAAGGTAACACACGCTGATGGCAGATGACATCCATCAAAATATCCCAAACTATTTATGATATGAGCGCACAAACCTGCAGCGTGACAACATTGACAAATATCAACCCGCCATGATGCTCACCAACCCATCAGGATAAACCACTGTCCAATTTTCCAATGTCAAAACAAGACATCGGTCCAGAGAAACACCTTTCCTTTGTCACCTGACTACTACTACTGTATTGATCCGCCTCATACCTGAGAGTGTCCAGTCTCCAGTGTGGATCCTCCAGTCCAGCAGACAGCTTTGTTGCTGAGTCTCCTGGATGATTGTAGCTCAGGTCCAGCTCTCTCAGATGGGAGGGGTTGGAGCTCAGAGCTGAGACCAGAGAAGCACAACCTTCCTCTGTGATCAGGCAGCCTGACAGCCTGCAAACACACAAAACAACACATTACATAATAAACATGTTCAAGGTAAGAGACTCAAACTAAATAAACCAAACAATGATTTGAGACAATGTTAGGAAGATTACAATTGTATACATCAACATAATTCAGGTTTAAAGTGGTTATCAGTTGAACAGGTTGACGAATTCTGACCTGAGAGTTTCCAGTTTACAGTGTGGACTCTTCAGTCCAACAGAAAGCAGCTTCAGTCCTGAATCCTGCAGGTTGTTGTTACTCAGGTCCAGCTCTCTCAGACTAGAGGACTGGGAGCTGAGAACTGAGACCAGAGAAGCACAACCTTCCTCTGTGATCAGAGAGCCTGACAGCCTGCAAACACACAGAACAACATGTAGTCCGGTGTAAAAGTACAGGGGTTAAAACAAGTTAATTTGTAATACAAATAACTGTTGGTAATTGGCCGTAGGTAAGGGAGTGAGTTAAAAAGGGGCGGGAGAATCGAACCAAGAGGACGCCATTGCTGAACGGGAAGGACTGTTTCACGCTTCCTCAGGAGGACTTTATTTCTGCTGCCGTTGGCTTTCATCTCCATCTCTTCATTAACTGTTTCTCCAGGACTTATTCCAGACCGTGAGTTGGATTTTCCGTGTGACTGTTAATTGTCACTGAGGATAAGGATTTCCCCGCCGCACCGCACCGAGCAACACACAGGCCTTTTTTTGTTTTTGTCTGTGTGTGAGAGTGTGTGTGCGCGTGTGTGTGAGGGTGTGTGTGTGTGTGTGTGTGTGTGTGTGTGTGCGTGTGTGTGCGCGTGTGTGTGTGTGCGTGTGCGTGTGTGTGTGGGCCCACTGTTTTGTTAGAGTTCAGTTAAGTAGCATATTTGATCTGAGTTTGATAAGTATAGAGAAATCGTATTAAGGGGTAAGAACTAGGAATTTTACCGGAGACCTGGAATTATTTAAATTTTGAATAGTATTTTGATATAGCCAATTCTATTTTGCTTATTATAAGTGTCTATTTTTCTACAGTGTTTTGCCAATTTTGGTAAAGGTCATTTTTGTTTACAACTATAATATTTTAATTTTAAAGAAGTCTAATTTGAGTAATTGTGTTATTTCATTTTTGTTTATCTGTTAACTAACAAAGTAAATATTATTTGTGTTAAACTGGAAAACAACTGTTTAGTTAACTATTATTTCGTTTATTTGAAAGAGTTATCTGGGGTCAGTTATTTAAAATAGTGTAGAGTACGTGTGAATAGAGTCACTGCTTAGTCTAACAGAGTTGTTGGTTATTCATAAAGTATTAGGCCATACAAAGTTTCACACAAAACAGGTAAACCTTTGTGGTAGCTACCTTAATAAATCGAACCCCAACACACCATCATTTAAGTCCAAGGTGAGTTGCTTTAACTTAAGCATTTACTTAGTGTTTGGGTGCTACAAACACATTACATAATAAACATGTTCAAGGAAAGAGACTCAAACTAATTAAACAAAACAACGTTAAGAAGATTACAATTGTATACATCAACATAATTCAGGTTTAAAATGGTTATCAGTTGAACAGGTTGACAAATCCTGACCTGAGAGTTTCCAGTTTACAGTGTGGACTCTTCAGTCCAACAGAAAGTAGCTTCAGTCCTGAATCCTGCAGGTTGTTGTTACTCAGGTCCAGCTCTCTCAGACTAGAGGACTGGGAGCTGAGAACTGAGGACAGAGCTTCACAGCTTCTCTCTGAGAGGTTACAGCGACTCAGTCTGTAGAGACAATGATCAACAATAAGAAAAGTAACATTTGTGACCAACACTTTATCACTCAGCCAAAACCCAAAAAACTTTAAATTAGTTCTGTAAAAATGATATTAGCTAGTGAGGAGTTCCCAATGTTGGTGATACATAATAATAATATTATATAATAATTCAGGTTTAAAGTGGTTATCAGTAGGGATGGGAATTGATAAGAATTTAACGATTCCGATTCCATTATCGATTCTCATTGGGTGAGGGAATAAGTACAAATTTGTTTGTTTGTATTAACTCGCTTTAATATCTGATCAGAAGACACAGCACAGAGTATACACAAACTATGTGTAGCAACCTCAGAACAAACCTAAAAGTATGTGAGCTACTTCTCAAAGTAAAGTCCAGTGTTTCTCAACCAGTAGGCCATGGCACGCTAGTGTGTGCCTTGAAAGATTATCAAGAGTGCTTTAGGATTAGGAAATTGTTCATTTTCACATTAATTGGTCCAGACAAAAAAAATAAATGTTTGGCTTTTTAAGCCCAACTGCCATTATGTGCCATAAAAACTAAAAACACAGACTGAAACAGGGTGGCCATTTCTTTCACATCAAAAAGGAGGACACTTTGCATACACGGGGACACGCAAGCAGATATTTGTTTGGTATGATCCGGTTTTAAATTTTAATGTTTTTCCACCAGATTACATAAATGTGCATACACATACCACATAGCTAATAATAAATATACAAGATACAGCTCATGACAACGTGCCCTTCCAATTCAGATTACATAGGTCTAATTCAAGGCCGTAGGAACCGTGGGGGACGGGCGGGACGTGTCCCCTCCAATATTGGAGACAGGCGCATTTGTCCCACCCAAAAATTATACCGCGGAGGAGAAAAATATTTTATTTTGAAAGCGCCACACAGCGTCTTGTCACCGGCCCGCCCGAGTGGCGACAGGTCAGAGGTTAAGATGAGAAGACAGTCGGATTCCCCTGGTCCGGACCAGTTCTAAGTCAGCTGCTAGGCGCCAGCCGAGGCGACCTGCCAGGACCCCGCGCGAACGGGGCCCAACAGGCGCCGTAGCTGGGGAGATCCGCGAGAAGGGCCCGTTGCGCGTCCAGAGTCGCCGCCGACCGCCGTACCCGATCCCCTCCACCGGCCCGCCTTCCACACGGCGTCGGACACCACCCCGCGAAAACCCCCGCCCAACGACACACGAGGCGCCGCGGACGAGGGCCCCGCGAGATGGGCCGCGCACCGCACTTCCAGCGGCGGAGAGAGGAGGGCGACGGGGCGACTGCTCCCCCAGCCGCGGCTCGAGCCCAGCCCCGCTTCGCACCCCAGCCCGACCGACCCAGCCCTTAGAGCCAATCCTTATCCCGAAGTTGCATAATACTTAGTAAGGAGGCCATAATATTTTTGACTCATGGCTGAAGTTAAGTTTCTCCAGCTCTCCCCAGGTTGGCAAAAGATGCATCTCAAAATGCATCAGATTGATGCTTTAAAATATGGAATATTCAACATTTTCTTCCGGGGGAGCAAGGCCCCCGGACCCCCCCTAGAGGGGTAATATCCTTCTTACCTTTTGCACCCCTGACCCGTTTTCATGCCTGGTATTTAAGATGATCGTAAAAGAACATGATTTTTCCATCATCCTAACCTGTGTAACTTGAAAACGAGTAATGTTACACATCTCCCACATCTAGAAAGGTGTTAGTCTGTGTGTTGTTCGCTTGTTCTTGACATTCCCATCAGTATTTTTCTATACCTTATTCATCTCCACTGCTTTCATATTAGAGGTCAGATGAAGTTCAGCTGGACACTAACAGTGGTGAGGGTAATGCAGGGAGAGCCAGCACTGCAGAGTTGCAGGTAGGTGCTATATGAAGGGTGAGGTGATTTTAGTTTGTTGATCATGAGAGGAAGGTTTGAGGCATAAGATACAACTAAGAAAAGAACATTTGAATTCAAATTTTGATCAATATTCTTCCCATGTTATTTATTAATCTACAAAACTGGATGATTAGGCCTGCAATTAAAGAATTGATTTGATATTTATCAGTTCATTACTGCCATTCAAAATGTGTTTTTCTTTACAAATGTATCTTTTTAGTAGAATAAATATATATTTGTGAATGTTTTGCAGTGTAGTTAATTTATGACATACTTCTGTTCAAACCATTAACGGATCTGTCAGGTTTCCGATATGTGTCCCCCCCAATGTTAAACTCATTCCTACGCCCCTGGTTTAATTAACATCATACAGAAACTGTTCTTAATGTTTTTATCTGGATAGATAAAGGCTAACGTTAGTTCTCTGTCGCTGAGAGCTTGATTGAAAACCTGGTGGTAGCAACTGTGGCGAATCAACACATGGCTCATTTGAATATTAAAACTAGCCATGTGTTGATAGGACATGAAAATGTAACCAATGAAATTACTTATTTTGACACACATTTTTAGCCAATAAGTATAATAATTTTTGTGCAGAAAAATTATCATGTCATTTAAAGTTACCTTCGGCATTGATAACAGATGGCGTCCCGTTAGCTCCGCTGCGTCTTAACACACTTGTGTCGCTAGGTAGTAGGGTATCAAACATGCGACAGTCCTGCAAATGAATTGATGCTGTGTCGCCAAATGTTTCTGCATATTGGAGGTAGTTCCCCCTTTGACGAAATGGAAACTTTACAAGTGTTGCAAGTGACCGTGTTGTCGTCTTTTCGCGTGAAAAATAACCAAACTTTAGAGCGGTTCTGCCTCGACGCCATGTTTGCTGCGTTCTGAACCAAAACAACGCAGCGTGTGTGTGACGTCATGACGCATTTGCAATGAGCGGAACTGATAAGCAGAATCGTTAAGCAGGCACGCTAACAGTTCCAAGGAATCGATTCACTGGGCTCTGGTTCTGAAGAAGAACCGGTTCTCGATTCCCATCCCTAGTTATCAGTTGAACAGGTACGAATTCTGACCTGAGAGTTTCCAGTTTACAGTGTGAACTCTTCAGTCCAACAGAAAGCAGCTTCAGTCCCGAATCCTGCAGGTTGTTGTTACTCAGGTCCAGCTCTCTCAGACTAGAGGACAGGGAGCTGAGAACTGAGGATAGAGCTTCACAGCTTCTCTCTGAGAGGTTACAGTCACTCAGTCTGTAGAGACAATGATCAACAATAAGAAAAATAACATTTGTGACCAGCACTTTATCACTCAGCCAAAACCAGAAACACTTTAAATTAGTGCTGTAAAAATGATATCAGCTTGTGAGGAGTTCCCAATGTTGGTGATATATATTGTCTTCATAATCTCTCTAAGTGGGAAAGATAGCAGAGTATTTGAGTGATAATACTGAAATCCAACTATTTCTGTACTTACAAAGCTTTGTTGGAGGCTTTGACCACTGGCAGCAGCCTCAGAAGAGCCTCCTCTGAAGCAGAGTATTTCTTCAGGTCAAACACGTCCAGATCTTTTTCTGATGACAGTAAGATGAAGACCAGAGCTGACCACTGAGCAGGAGACAGTTTATCTGTGGAGAGACGTCCTGAACTCAGGGACTGTTGGATCTCCTCCACTAGAGAACGATCATTCAGTTCATTCAGACAGTGGAACAGATTGATGCTTCTCTCTGCAGAGAGATTCTCACTGATCTTCTTCTTGATGTACTGGACTGTTTGCTGATTGGTCTGTGAACTACTTCCTGTCTGCGTCAGCAGACCTCTTAGGAGATTCTGATTGGTCGGCAGTGAAAGACCCAGGAGGAAGCGGAGGAACAAGTCCAGATGTCCTTGTTGACTCTCTAAGGCCTTGTCCACAGCACTCTGGTGGAGATATTTCAGTTTAGGTTTGTCTTGGAAGACTTTAGAAAAGCGGGATGTTTTTTGTTGTTCTGCCAGCAGATTGACTCGAGAGTTGATGAATGTCAGATGGACATGAAGAGCAGCCAGAAACTCCTGCACACTCAGATGGACGAAGCAGAAGACCTTGTCCTGGTACAGTCCACTCTCCTCTTTAAAGATCTGTGTGAACACTCCTGAGTACACTGAGGCTGCTCTGATATCGATGCCACACTCTGTCAGGTCTGATTCATAGAAGATCAGGTTGCCTTTCTGCAGCTGCTCAAAAGCCAGTTTTCCCAGAGACTTAATCATCTTCTTGCTGTTATTATTCCAGTGTGGATCTGTCTCAGCTCCTCCATCATACTTGATGGTCTTCACTTTGGACTGAACCACCAAGAAGTGGATGAACATCTCAGTCAGGGTCTTGGGCAGCTCTCCTCCCTCTCTGTTCTTCAACACATCCTCCAGAACTGTAGCAGTGATCCAGCAGAAGACTGGGATGTGGCACATGATGTGGACGCTTCGTGATGTTTTGATGTGGGAGATGATTATGCTGGCCTGCTCATGATCTCTGAACCTCTTCCTAAAGTAGTCCTCCTTCTGTGGGTCAGTGAACCCTCTGACCTCTGTCACCATGTCAACACACTCAGGAGGGATCTGATTGGCTGCTGCAGGTCGTGAGGTTATCCAGAGGTGAGCAGAGGGAAGCAGTTTCCCCCTGATGAGGTTTGTCAGCAGCACACCCACTGAGGTGGACTCTGTAACATCAGTCAAGATCTCAGTGTTGTGGAAGTCCAGAGGAAGTCGACACTCATCCAGACCGTCAAAGATGAACACAACCTGGAACTCTTCAAAGCTGCAGATTCCTGCTTCTTTGGTTTCAGTAAAGAAGTGATGAACAAGTTCCACCAAGCTGTACTTTTTCTCTTTCAGCACATTCAGCTCTCTGAAAGTGAATGGAAATGTGAACTGTATGTCCTGGTTGGCTTTGTCTTCAGCCCAGTCCAGAGTGAACTTCTGTGTTAAGACTGTTTTCCCAATGCCAGCTACTCCCTTTGTCATCACTGTTCTGATTGGTTCATCTCTTCCAGGTGAGGATTTAAAGATGTCTTCTTGTCTGATTGTTGTTTCTGGTCTGTGTGGTTTCCTGGATGCTGTTTCAATCTGTCTGACCTCATGTTCATCATTGACCTCTGCAGTCCCTCCCTCTGTGATGTAGAGCTCTGTGTAGATCTGGTTCAGAAGGGTTGGGTTTCCTGCTTTAGCAATCCCCTCAAACACACACTGGAACTTCTTCTTCAGCTTCGATTTAAGTTCACGTCGGCACGCTGCAGCAACAGTTCCTGAATGAAGAAATAAGAAATGTAGTTAATAAGTAGAAGCTCCAATAAATCTGATGGATGTAAACTTTAAGACATCAAGATGGTATTTATTTTCCTCCTCCATTAAATCTCTTTAGCTCATCAGTTGTAAACAGTTTCTGTTTTCAGTCCAGAAGAATTCATAGATCTGATACAATGTGTGCATCATATTATCAGCAAAGTTTTAAAAGTAAACTTCTCCCATGTTGCCTCCATTTCCTCTTTCCATCATGTTCAATCTGTTAAAATCCTCTTACTGCTCTGTAGACAGTCAGCCAGCTCCTCCTGCTTCATTCTCCTCAGGAAATGCACTGTGATCTTCAGAAATGCCTCTCTGCTGCTCCTCCTCTGCTCTTCATCCTCACCATCCAACACCTCCTCATCCTCCCTCTGACTCTCTGAGCATTCTGGGTAATCTGAACTCAGAACCTTCTGGATCTTCTTCAGCTCGTTCTTCATAAAAGTGACAATGTTGTCCTCCAGCAGCTGCAACAGAATATTATATGAATGACTCAAAGTCAAATCATGGAAGCAAACATCAGATCCATGTTGGACAGACTGACAATCCACTGGTCTAAAAAGTGCAGCATGGAGATTATTGCGAACACAATAGATGTAAAAGTAGTTGTTGTCCATGTACAGACCATAAATATGGAGTCCAGGTGTGTTTGATGCTGCTGGGCAGACTGACCACTGGGAACCTCTGAGGTCTCCTGGTCCACTCTGTGGAGGAATCATGAAGAATGAGCTCACATTATGTCTGTCCACACAGACACAAACACAAGGTAAAGGTCCATGAAGTGATATTTGGATGTGAACAGTGAATCTGATGACTCCCTGTAGTGGTAAAGGTTTACTAGTCCTGCTGATCCCACTGAGAATCAACAGCTCATTTTGGTTCAGTCCCAACAGCTCTCACCAACCCCTCCATATAGCTCTCCCTCCCTCACTGTACACTGCTGAAGTGCCATGGAGCAAGGCACCTAGAGCCTCCAGCTGCTCCAGTGGAGCTGCTCAGTGTCTGCTTGTATCAGACTGGTTGTACTGGTCAGCTCCCAGTGTGAATGTGTTTGACTGTGTGAGTGTGAGGCAGCTGCTGCTGAAAGAGTGTTGGTGCTCAGAGAACTTCATCTGAGTCAGTAAAGGTTTAAAAACTGGAGATCTCACAACTGAGAGTCTGATAAAAACACATCATTTTATTTTCATCATCAGTTTGAAATCCTCACCTTTGATCAACAGAGTGGCGGCCATCTTTGAAGTGTATAAGATGACCCTTAGAGCGATCACTCTTCATGGACACACAGCTGGGTTCAGGTTTTTTCCTCCTGATAGAAAAACAGGATCAGTTCTGCACTGCACCCACAACACACTGAGACAAAACCTGCCAGTGACTGAATACACCGACTGTACACAGTGTATTTGTACCCAGGGAGTTCTTGGTTAGGATTTCTATAAAGTCAGTGTTTGATTTAGACATGTTTCACTGTGTATTTTAAAGCTGTATTATATGGGGTGCCGTCTATAAAGCGGCTCACGCTGAAATCTAAATCTAAAATCTTAAATCTAAATCTAAATGTTAAATCTAAATGTTTCGGGTGAAACTAAATATTTAACTAATATGCAAATTCAAAATGCCGGTAACCGGAAGTATCAAAATAAAAGCTCGAGGAGGTCAGTGTGTGTTTATAGTGTCAAATAACAATAAAGACCACCGGGGAAATGGACTCTTGGACATGGTTTATCGTGATAATAACTACCTAAAATAATAAACACATTTGGAGAAACTGTATTTGAAGAGTGCTTTGAGTTTTTAGTGTCACTTTTATGAAGGGTGCGGGACTTATGACCCTGAGGCGGTTGCTGTCGCTGTTGAAAATTTTTGTATAGCCGCCAGGACGGCTCTGCCGATGTTCTCGGCTAACGCCGACTCGTTGGACATTTTCGCAGAGCGACCATGGCCGACAGTACCTGGTGGTGGCGGGCGGGGGTAGGCTCTTGTTGGCCTTTATGCAAGTGAACAAGACAGATCAGTCACAGTTAGGGTGGCCATTCGTCCGGCTTTAGGCCGGACTGTCCGGCTTTTAAATGCCCTGTCGGGCTGCAGGCGCAGCCTTAAGCCTGACACTCATTTGTCCTCCTTTTGAGAAAATAACAAAAAAGGTCGCCTTTTGACACATTACCTTGTTAGTTTAATACTTATTGGCTAAAAATGTCTGCCAAAAAAGCTGTGTCAAAATAAGTAATTTCATTGTTTACATTTTCCTGTCGTGACCTATCAACACATGGCTAATTTTAATATTCAACTGAGCCATGTGTTGATTCGCCACAACACAGGCTCACTGCAGTTGCTACCACCAGGCTGTCAATCAAGCTCTCAGCGACAGAGAACATCGGTTGTTGGACTGAAATTCAGAAAATGCTCATACTCATATGTAGATAGGCAAAGTCTATACATCTGAAACAGAAGGTGCTGTATTTTTTTACCCTTTATCTATCCAGATAAAAACATTAAGAACAGTTTCTGTATGATGTTTATTAGACCTATGTAATCTGAATTGGAAGGGCACGTTGTCATGAGCTGTATCTTTTATATTTATTATTAGCTATGTGGTATGTGTATGCACCTTTATGTAATCTGGTGGAAAAACATATTATATATGCATTATATATACCCCCTCGTGGCTGGCTATGGTGGCTACAGGTCATAAGTCCCGCACCCTTCATAAAAGTGAAACTAAAAACTCAAAGCACTCTTCAAATACAGTTTCTCCAA